TTCCTTTCATATAAAGATATTCATCTGAGCAGCAGTACAAGAAAAACCGTAACAGATAAAAATTAACTACTACTGCATTACATCATTACTCCAGAACAGCGAGAATGATACACTATGTCCTTGTGTGACGCTCCCAAATAGTTCTTAACACTGGAAACTAAAACCACAATTCCTACGATAAGCAAAAATTGTAGCAGCTATTTTAAAGTATTTTCCTGCTTAAGACTTTTTAAAAGTTGTCCACATACAGAAAGAAAAGGACGAAAGAGTAAGTGAATAAATAAAGTATATTACACTTTACTTTACAAATGACTTTGTCAGCTCCCAGCAAATTTTCTTGGAAAGTTTTTCAGAAAATATGGATTACTCAAAACCATCTTTATCTTAAATAACTATAAAGTAGAAAAGCAATAATTAAGAATAAATGTTGTATTTCCCCATCTCAGAAAACCAAAGAAATAATTCAATTGCAAACCACATTATAGAATATGAAGCTTCCCAGGCCTAATTTAGTTCTCTGAAATAAATGGTATATGTAGAGAAGATTTAACTATAAATGTGAAAATAGCTCTAATTAAATACTGAAAGCCTTGACCTTTCCTTTAGTGAGGAAGGTGGTCCTCCTCCATTTTTAATCACTAAGAATATTTTAAAATTTCCACAAATACTTATCAGACTATTTTCAGGAGTAATAAAATAGTGGTAACAAGATAGTCCTTTTCAGAAGACATTCCATGAGCCTGAAAAGTGATGTTTTCCCCAAACATTTATTCCATACTCATTAATTAAATTCAAATTCTGTCAATAAGTGGATGCACCACCCCCTCGCCTTATTTGTAGATCGGAGAAGTAAATGAAGAGCAGTCATTATCTACATTCTATACTGCAAAGAAATGGAAAATGCTTCAAGGTATCTAAAAATATTTCTGGCAGAATGATTTTTAAAAATTCAACATTATACTGATAATGTCTTTTATAAAATAAAGTGTTCAATGGAAGTCCCTTTGAAAATATAATGTTTAAAGAGGGGTAAAAATTATCACCCTCTACTATCCATATTAACTCACCTCGTTTTCATCCCCTTTAAATGGTGAGCATTTAGCGAGGGTCTCAAGTTCACATGAAGACGGGCCAGGCAAGTAGCATCAGGAAGTGCAACAAGCAAGTGTGACTATAAACTATGAATGAGCGCTTCCTGCAGCTGTCACCAGACTCCATCCCTCCATCCTGTTATTGCTACGAGGAATGCCACCCTAGGGCCCCAAGACCTTCCAGTTTTTCCTGAGAGAATCCAGAAAGCTAAATCATGCAAAATCTTCCATTTTTAAATGTTGGCAATTAAGAAACAAACAAGCCAATAAAAAAACAATGCAGGCCAACTAAAACGTACCTGCAAACTGAATCTGGCCTTACAATATGTAATCAGTGCTAGTTGCACAGCAATAATATTCTAGGACCAGCCTCAGTAAGAATCTCAAATACCTGCGTCCCAGACCTTAACCTCCCCAGGACTATTATACTCAGATTTCATGTTAAAGATGGATTCTCCACGTAGTCAAGAATATCAGTGGTATCTTTCTCTCTTGAAGGCTAATTTTTAGGTTAATTTTTTAAAATACTACCTTTTTTTTTGAATCTTTATGGGCACTTTATTCAGATGCTGGCTATCTGAGAAAACGGTGGGTTATGTACCTTCAAAAACCATCTTAACATCTCATCTCAAGCTGACCTTTTTACAAGGAGAAGAAAGGGCAGGTAAGGGGTTTGGGAAAAACGTTATTAGACAAGAGTTGCAATGAAAAATACGACTACTTTACTATTTTAAAATACACGTTCAAAGGAAAAAATCGAAACAATATTGAGGTGGCTACATTTAAAATTATATTAGTAACATTAGAATGATACTATCTAGAACATGTATACATATTGAAACATTTTTAAAAGAATACAATGTTCTACAAACGGTGTTAGCTGGTTAAAATGAGTGTCAATCAGCCGGGTCCTTAGAGGGCGACCGCCCGAGCTCCTTCATGTCTCTGCGTGAGACCCCAGGAGCCAGCGTCCTGGTGGGCCGCCTTCACCTCATAGCATGAAAACGGAAAACCAAATGAAGGAGGGAAGAGGTGACAGCCATGTTAATTGGCACGATATTTCTGTTACATAGTAACAGTTCCAAAGGATCCTAGGACTCAACACAATTTTCTTCACTACTTTAGCTCTACTACGTGAATTAGGTGGCCAAAAGGAATAAACCAGTGAGACCTTCTGTCTGGGAACAAAATCTGCCAGAATAAAAAGAAGTGCTACGTGGGGCAGCACCCAAAGATTTAACTCCCGAAGAACAAGGTGTTAGAGTTCAAGAGAAAGGCAGCCTGGCTTTAACAGAGCAGGGTTTCATCACCTGACAGCTGTGTGACTTTAAGCAAATTATTTAACTACTCTGAGCACTATTCCCTCACCTACAAAAAAAAAAGATAATAAGCATTACTTTAATTCTCATTATGAGAACTGTGATACATCTTAAATGTTTTAATTCATTCTCTCAGCTGAGACTGGAATCTGCTCCACAATATCAGTAGTTTAAAACACTACTGGTTTGACCTGGCTGGTGTGGCTCAGTGGACTGAGAGTATCAGCCTGCGAATCGAAGGGTCGACCCCCAGTCAGGGGACATGCCTGGGCTGCAGGACAGGTCCCCAGTGGGGGGCGTGCAAGAGGCAACCACATATTAATGTTTTTCTCCCTATCTCCCTCCCTTCCCCTCTAAAAATAAATACAATTTAAAAAAAAACCCCACCCCACTTCTGGTAGAATAGCTACACAAGCAAGAGAACTAGGCACTTTCTGAAACAGTCCTTTTCATCCTCACACTTCTCTCATTTTCTTTTACTAAACTAAAATTAGCTTCCTAGTTACTTCAACCCCGTCAATCACATTGTAGTTTAAATCTTATTAAGTAAAGCTAATTCAAATCTTACTAAGCTCTGAGCTCCCACAAAGGTTGAGGTTGTTCAGTATTGAAGTCCCAGCACCTAGAACAATGATAAGCACATAGTAGGTGTACAATATTTACAGACTGAGTGATACATTTTGTGCAGTATTTACTAATTGACCATGGAAATGCCTTCTAATATAAAGAGCACATGTGTCTACATTTCTGGATGTGATCATTCAATGTTTAAGGTTTAAAAGTTGAAACATACACAACCAAATGCATGCTGTTTGTTTTAAATCCCTCCAGATAATGTAAATGAAAGCAATTTATTTGTATTTTAAATGGTGATGATGTGCAATGATAGCTGATAAAGTTCCTTCAAAGCAACAGACCTAGGAATGGCTTCATAACTTCTATTCATAATTTCCTTCAGGTTTAACTGAATTCTGAGTCTGAATTTTTAAAGACCTTCATAATGGTATGTAATTTCACTGCCACTGTGACTATTCTGCTAATATCCTCCAAATAATAAATCAAGTTTTATTTTCGGAAAGTTACCCAGAAAATACCAGAATCGAAGTTGTGACAGAGTATCAAAATCTGTAACTTTTCTCACGACTTTCTTAGCAACGCACCACTATAACCCTCTTCCTGCATGTGCACTAGGGGCGCAGTTATAATGTAGTCACTTATGTGTGTTCCAGAGCCCAGAGAGCAGGTCCCATACACCATGTTCTACTGCACAGAGCAGGAAGCCCAACTGTGAACCATCATCCCCTGCAAACCTATGGAAATATTTCCATTGCAGAGTAAACCTCTCCTGCCACCTCGCAGTTTTAGTTTTAAGCTGTTACTCTGGGCTGTTAGCCTAAACAAAGCATAATTAGTAAGGTCAATTTGCCACATACACAAGTCAATAATCCGTCCCAAACCCAAACCTCAAATACTTCTGGATTATCTGGGTCACTGATGCTTGAGACTCAACAGAAAATCAGTGATCTCCATAGAAAGAGGCAACTTCCACTCGTGAGCACTAGGAAAGAAAGGCAAACACCAGACGGACATAATTTTATAATAACGGACAAAATCCAAAAGAGCCGACTACCTTAATGAACACAACATTGAAGGGCAGAAAGTGAAATTAAATTCTCAGGCATTTTAGAAGAAACAGCTAGGTACAACCCTTTTTCTACTCCAACGATCCTTCCCAGACCAAAGTCTGGTCCCACAAAACTTCCCTTTCCCTTCCACTTCTACTAAACACACACACACACACACACACACACACACACACACACACACACCCCTTGTACATTAAGCAAATCAGTGTACTACATAAAATTAAGCCACCAGGTACAGGAGGGCTTTGGAAAGTTGCAGTCACTACCTATCATTAGGATGCTCTCCGCAGGGTGACTTCGGGTACGGTGCGAGGAGCCCACAGGTACAGGGGGCTGACACAGGAGGGGCAGGGAGCAGGTCTGTGCTGCGGAACCCACCCCAGGAGGGCAGGTGTCACTAATACCACGCGGACGGAGAACGACACTAAGTATCCCAACTCGTTTACAACAACCGGCCGAGAAGCACTCCTCCTTCACAACAGCTGTCACAGCCAAAGTGGCCTGCAGTTGCAAAACCCAACAAACAGCCCGGGGCCACCAGCGCGTTCTTCCTGCCTGCGAAGAAGTGCTCGGCAACAATTGCTCAACGTGCCTCGAGCGATGCTGCAAAGTGCCCCTAATGCGGCAACCACCGAGTTTCTCAGGGGCCGCAGAGCCGAGTCCTGGGGACTGGGGTGGGCTTCCCTCCCCCTTCCAGTATGCTGCTTCTCCCCACACCGACCGCACCTCTTAGCTGCTCAAAACCAGCCCCATCCGATGCCCTTCGGAAGAAAAGGTGTGCGCCGCTGGCCTTCACCGAGGACCCTGTCCACGGCCGGAAGGTCCCTGCAAAAGCAGGGACTCCCAGCCCCGCGCAGGCGGCAGCCTTACCCGCCCAAACCCGGACGCCCGGCAGCTAGGCCCCCGCACCTGCGGGGTACCTGCCCCCCTCGCCCGCCTCTCACCTGATCTTGTAGCTGGGGAGGGTGTGCTTGCGCTTGATGACTTTCTTGAGCTGATTCACGATGATGGAGGTGAGCTGGGGCATGGGCCGCCCTTCAAACTGGGAGCGCACCTCGAAGTCGATGAGGGGGTCCTCCACGAAGGAGAAGAACCAGTGGGTGAATGGCACGCGGGTGAGGACGAAGCGCAGCCTCCCCACCACGCGGGACAGCTTGACGAACAGGTACGCGGACTTGCCGAAGACCAGGTCCACGTCGATGGCGAGGTGGAACCCCCCGTTGTATTCCACCTCCGCCTCAAAGGCCAGCTCCTCCGGGGAGGTGGCGGGCAGCGCCTCTCCCTCGGGGCCGTCGGGCTCCCCGGCGGCGGACGGCACCACGGGCCGGAGCAGCCGGATGGTCTTAATGAAGGGCACGGTCTCGCCCAGGAACACGTCCCGCAGGCTCAGCCCCTCCAGCAGGCGCCCCGCCGTCTTGGTCTGCAGCAGCTCCTCGAACTCCACCTTGATCTTCTTGGTGACCCAGCGGCGGGCCAGTGCGGTGTCCCGCAGCTCCCGGAACAGGAACAGGATGATGGCGTTGAGGAAGTAGCAGGTTTCCCGCGTCGGCGGGGCTGGGGTCTCCGGGGTCGGGGTGGCGCCGCCCTCGCAGGGCCCGGCGGCGGGCTCCTCGGCCCCGCCGCCACCGCCATAAAGGTACTCCCGCAGGGCCAGGCCCGGCACCGGCCTGAGGTAGCGGAAGCCGTCGCGCGCGCGGGCGGCCTCGTCCGGCGGCGGCTCGGGCTGTCTGCGGTAAAGCAGCAGGAACTGGGTGAGGAGCGTGAGCAAGAAGCCCAGCACCGCCGACGCCAGGATCAGGAGCAGCAGCCCCATCCCGCCGCCGTCTCCGCCCGGACAGCCCCGGCAGCTGCTCCCGCGCGCACAGCGCGGCTTTCTTCACGCCGCCGCCCCCGCTGCCTCCATCTTGAGGACATCGGGCGGCGGGGACGGGGCGAGCTGCTCCCAGGGCCGCGTCCCGCGGTTCGGGTCCGCGTCCTGCGACGCCCGAGCCTGCGACGGCCCGCGGCTCCCCAGACGCTCCGGGAGGCGGCCGCTTTGGCCGCGACTGCCGCGGGGGCGGGAGGGGCGGGGCGGCGCGTTCCCTCGGCCTTTCCTCATTGGGTGAACGATGCGTGACGTCGGTAGCGTACTCGCTCCCGGCGGTGTCGCCTGGCAGCGGGCGCCGGGGCGCGCGTACGTGGGTCCTTCTTTCCCTCTCCAGCGCCCCTCTAGCCCCGCCCCCCACACCAACATTCCTTTCCCCCGCGATCCACGTGGCTGTCACTTCTGAAGCCACTGTCGAAATCGGAGAAGATAACTGGGGCCACCGGTTGGAGGATAAGGAGGCCCGGAGGAGATGGCGTGGCGCGGTGTCGATCCTGGTCATCCCGTTATCTTCTAGTGCGCCCATCCCCCGTCTTTGGCCGCGGTTCCCGTGGGTTACCTCTGCTGCAGTGTGATTCTTCCACTCGCGCCCCTGAGATGTGGGCCGGCGGGGGATTTCCCTGCAGGGCAGTGCCACGGAGACCCAGAACTGGCCATTCGGAGACTTCCTAAACCTAGGACAAGAGAAGACTGACTGCCTCACGGACCGTTGTCGCTGACCGACCATCCCACCAGCAGACGCTCTGCGTCCGCGGAGGGTGGGCCCTGGGAGGGAGGGACAGAGAAAAACAATTAAGATTTAAACGAGAAGGAAAGAAGTAAAAGAGCTGGGACAGGAAAGGTGAGTGAGACGAATTTGCCAGATGATTGGAAGATGGATAGTGGTTCGCTGTCAAGCTCCTGCAGTGGGATAAGCCCCCTGTGTATGACCACCTTTAGTCCACCCATGAGGCGGTTTTCGTTAGCCCCCACCCATTTTACAGATACCAACACTGCCGCACAGAGGCAGGCAAAGTTGCTTGGGGTGACGCAGTGCAGCCTGATTTGTCCAACAGTAAGTAAACCCCAAGCCCTTGGTCACTTCTCTGTACCTAGACGCCGAGATTGCTAGGGTTGGAAGGGGGCTTATTGATTCCCTGGTGCACAGGAGGAGGGAGTTGGGGAGGTGGGGTCAGGAAAGACTTCAGGAAATTTTGCACGGGGTAGCACCTTGACCAAAGTCATAGAGGTAATTAAGCCAGGTTGCCAACAACATTGTTATTCCCCATGCCCTCTGGCTACTTGGTTGTCACAATGCTTATGTGGCTTCAATCACAAGGACACCGCGACAGTTCTACCTCTATTCCTACGAGGATTAGATATTACACACCCAAAACTCAGACCAGTTCTGGCTGACCCGGAGGAGCTAGGGTGGGGCTCCTCTCTAGCCCTCCAAGATCTTCAAGGAGGTGTTTGACTTGACTCTGGGTGATTCTAGAACAAAGAACAGAGTTTGGCCACCTTCTGACCCAGCTGGAGCAAGTGCAGAACTTTGGAACCAGGTCCATCTCGTCTTACTCATGCTCAAGTATAAGACCAGATGGGCTCTTTTACTACAAAAATGCAAGATAGGTGTCTGCTGAGGAACCAGGCTCAACCCCCACATTCCACATCCTAAGAAAGTCTAGGGGCCTACTGGGATTTCTGGGAGCTCAAGGCAACCCCTGTTCTTGTGGCCACCTCTGGCTCCTGGCCTCTGCTTCTGGACTGCTGCCTCAGTTCTACACCGTTTCAGCCCAGATGGAAATGGTGGACTCTTCCTCGGTTTCCACCAAAAACCTTGTTTATAAAATGTATGCACCATTGCAGAAAATGTCACAGAAGCTGGAGATGGGGTGGAGCAAAAGATTAGTTCCTCGTGTTACTGAGACACAAAGTCCTCCAACTGTATCCTGACCCTTCTTGCATCTTAAGATACTCTTCAACCACCTTCTCACCCACCGGGCAAGTTGCTGTTCCTCATGGGAGAGAGTCCTCAGGTCACACTCCATCCCACAGGCTCCTCCCTCTCCTTTCCTCCTCCCCCCTCTATCTTACTTCTCTGATGACCTCTGGGAATCCCAAATCTTTGAAATCCATTAGAGTCATTTGATTCCCCAGCAAAACTCGTCTCCTGAGGGGCACACTTCAAAGCCATGAAGGAGCTCAGCACACCTTTTGGTAAGATAAAAGAAAAATATTTTCCCTTGTGTTAAAAATAGTAACATTAGTTGAACACTTACAATAATAATGGTAATATATGTGGAGAATGGACTGTGTGCCAGGCACAGTGTTAGGCATTGTATGTGCCGTATGCCATTTAAGAAGCAGAATGTCAGTGAGTGTTGGCTCTGCCCCGCCACTCCACCCAAGCCTGGGGGTAGCGGGTCCAGCCCCCACCTGGCGTATCCCATCACAGCCCAGCGGGGCAGTCCATTCCCTGGTTTTGAGCCTGCAAATGGCTGCCAGCTGAGGGGGTCTTTGCTGCTTTTCCCTTTCACCAGGTCGTCAGTGAACCCAGGGATTCTTAACCTCAGCACTATTGCCGTTTGCAGCTGGAAGATTCCTTATTGTTGGGGCTGTCCTGTGCATTGCAGGAGGTAATGCGGTGTTAATAGAAGCTTATTATTTTTCATGATATTCCCTGGAAGAATATAAAGTCAGCAACCTTTTCTTTCCCTTTAATATTAATGCTGGTTCATAGAAACTCAAGAGTCTGAGAACCTTTGGCTCCAGATCTGAAAATCTATGATTCTGAATAGGTATTTGAAGGAAGAAGGTACTTAGCTAGCCTGGTGACCTTTTAATGAGTTTTAAATGACATCATTGAAATTAAGCTGCCCCAATAGCCTTCATGGGAAGTATTCATTTCAAGGGTAAAGGCTGTTGAATACTGGAAAATGTAAGACAAGCATTCTCACCAACTAGAGAGAGGCATGGATCACTTCTGCTACTAAACTCTGAATCGTTCCCGGTGAGTGGCAAATAAGACAGGTCAAAGCCTGTGAATATGGAGAGTTTGGAAGTAGGGTGAAAACTAACCTAATAAAAATGATATAGTGACATAAAATCATGCAAATATAGCAACATACGCTGAAAAGCAGAGAAGTTTAGAACGATTGCCTAAAAACAATACATTAGACCATTTTGTGAACTGTCAGGATTCAATTTCAACCATTTTTGAGCATCCAGCACATGCCAGGTTCTGGGGGTGCTGAATGAACAGGACAGAATCCCTGCCTTTGGGGGCGCCGTGTCCAGGTGGATGCAGACACACCCCTACGTAACTGATGTTAAGAAGAGATCGTACCCAGTGTATTGTGGGAACAGAGCCTTCTGAAATTGGATTTATGTTAAAGAGACTGAAGAATCCCAAAAAACTCAGCTGCAAAATTTTCAGAAACCTGGGAGTAAGAGGTCTCTCTCTCCCTGTCTCTCTCTCATTCCTTCTGGCCCCACCCCCACCCGGTATCTTGTCTCCACATCTCTCTGTATATCTGTATCACATTCCTCCATAAGACTCTTGATTCCTCCTTTTTCATAGCCTCAACATACAGGCAGCTTTGAAAGGCACCAGCTCTATACCCAGATCCTGAGGGGCCTGTGTTTCTGGTGCCTAATGTGAAATGATGCTACTTCAATTTCAAGTGCTGGAGGAGGAACCCCAGCTGGGCTCTCCTAATCCTATCAGTTATGCCCACGGGTCTGGCCACTTCTGGGCTGCTGGTGGGTGGAGCAAGTTCTCCAAAGAGGGGGAAGGGATTGAAAATGAGCATAGATGGGCAATTCTAGGTCAATGGGAGATGAAGTGCTCATTCTGGCTGGGGAAGGTGGGGAGTTTCTTAGGGCAAGTGGAATTCACATTAGCCTTTGATGATTAGAAGGATATTCTAATCAGGAGGAGGCCAAAGTTCAGAAGTTGGAAACCCAACACAGTTTAGGGAAATTGAGACCAGGATGGCTGCAGGGTGGTTTGAATATGGTCAAGGCAGGAGGAAAATAGATAGAGATAAAAAAAAAAAGGTAAAGTAGGATTGAGCCAAATTATGTAGGGTTTGAATGTCAGGGCAAGTTTGGCTTCTATTCTACCGTTTTTCAAAAGTTGCCAAAGGTTTTTAAGCAAGAGCATGGTTTTAACCCTTTTCCTTCCACCACCCGAGTCCCACTGTTGCCAAAGTGACATTTCTCCAGTACAAATCTGATCTTATCGCTTCATGGCTAAAAATTCTTCAGTGGCTCTCTACAGCCCTATTAATAATAATAATGGCTGTCATACATCAAGAGCATAGTAACTGGAGGTGTGCTCAGCACTTTAGAAGCATTTTCATTCTTGCAGCTGCCTTTTGGGGTAGGTAGCATCATCTCCATTTCATAGGTAAGGAAACACACATAACGCAGATAAAAAAAAACCTGATAAAGGTCACTAAGTTAATAAGTGGAGGAGCAGAGATTTGAGTAAACTCTGTCTAACCCCAAAGCCTCCCATTTTAGGGCACAGTCCAAACGCATCAGCACGGGAAACCGCTCTCTCTGTGATCTGGTCTTCGCTTACACTTCAGCCTCCCTCTCGCACGCACTCCGTCAACAAAACCCTTCAAAAAAATACACTTGGAATTCACCACTTCTGCATTCACTCCCCTGGTTCAAGCACCACGCTGAGCCTGGATTACTGGAGGAGTCACTTAACTGGCCTCTCCGCTTCTGTCCGTCACACCCCGATGTCTGTCCCAACACAGAAGCCAAAGTGACCATGGTCAGCACAAGTTCAATCATGTTACTCATCTGCCCAACACCCCCCCCACCTGGTGGTTCCTGGGATGGGCAAAATAATGCCCTCCCTCCCCCAAAGATGTCCGCGTCCTAACCCCTGTGAGTATGTTCTGTTACCTGACCAAGAGGAATTAGTGTTGCAGATCCTCGCTAATTAAAGGTTGCTAATCAGCTGACCTTAAAATAGGGCGATCATTCTGGATTAACCAGTTGTGCCCCATGCAATCATGAGAGTCCTTACAAGGGGATGAGAGAGGCAGGAGGGGAGGTCAGAAGGACAGGATGTGAGAAAGACTCGACCCAGCATTGCTGGCTTTGAAGATGGAAAGAACTAGGAGCTTGGGAGGTGAGAGAGGCAGGGAAGTGGCTCCCCAGAGCCCCC